GCCAGGGGGTGGTGAGAAGCCCGCGGACCAAGGGAGGGGTGCAGCCACAGGGAGGGGTGCAGCCACATGGGGTGGCCACGCCTCCAGGCCAGCTCCCTCCTGGGGAGCGACTTCCATGAATTCTGCGCCCAGGAGGGCGGGGCCACCGTCTCCCCAGGGTGAGGTGCAATGTCAGCTCATTCTAGGCAAATATTTGATCAAAAATGGCAATAATTGCCTTGGCCAGTGTGGCTCAGTGGCTAGAGCGTAGGCCTGTGGGCTGAAGGGTCCTGGGTTCGATTCCAATCAAGGGCACAGGCCCGGGTTGCGGACTCGATCCCCAGTGTGGGGCGTGCAGGAGGCAGCCGATCCATGATTCTCTCTCATCATTGACGTTTCTCTCTCTCTCCCTTTCTCTCTGAAATCAATAAAAACATAGTTTTTTTAAAAAAAAAACAACGCAGATTAGACAAACAAGAGAGGGTGGTAGGAGGCCGCAGATTGAGGCAGGAAGGAAAAAACGGAAAAGAGCGAAGGATCTATGCGATTCGGGGAAGACGTGGACACAGGCCGGGGAGCGAGGAGCGTGAGCAGGGCCACATCTGAAAAGACGCCGGCTGGTCTCCTGCAAAAGGGACGCAGACATCATGCCCCAGGTCCTCAGAGCTGGCCGGGCCCGACGAGTCCGGAGAACTCAGGCCGCACCCCCCACCCTGCCCCCCGCGAGGCTGCACAACGGAAGGACAAGGACGTTTCCAACGCGGCCGAGGAAGAGAGGCATCGCCTTCGAGGGGCCGGCGCCATGTCGGCTGGCGACGCTCCACAGAACAGAGCCCAGGAGGGTGGCCCACAGGCAGCGCCCGCCCAGCGTCACCCGAGGCCACGCCCGGAGGAGAACGTCCTCGCCAGTGAAGGCAGAAGAGAGACGTTTCCCAGAAAGGACACGCAGCTCCCGGTCAGCAGGCGGAGCTGGAGGACGGGCAGGCAGTGAGCAGGCAGGAGGGCAGGGTCTCGGCCGAGGCCCCGGCAGGAAGCAGCAAGCTCACGGAGGGCGAATCTGACAGATGCTCCTTCTCGGATATTAGCGGCGATGACTGTGGGGTTTAAAGCGTGAGTAGACTCTGCACACGTAACAGCAGCATGAAAACCGATGGGGAATCAAGAGAGTGAGTAATGCCCTGGCCGGTGTGGCTCAGCGGACAGAGCGTCGGCCTGCGGACTGAAGGGTCCCGGGTTCGATTCCATGTACCTTGGTTGCGGGCACATCCCCAGTAGGGTGTGTGCAGGAGGCAGCTGATCGATGTTTCTTCTCTCTCATTGTTTCTAACTCCCTATCCCTCTCCCTTCCTCTCTGTAAAAAAATCAATGAAATATATTTTTTAAAAAAAGGGGAGTGGAGTAAGGTTACAAGGTTCTTGCCTTCCTGGGAATCAGCAAAAGCGATCCTCGAAGGCCCGTTCCAAGAATCAAGAACGTGCCTTCTAATTTCTCAGGAAGCCAGAATATTTCAAATATGCCAAGTACTTAACAAAGCCAACAAAAGGGAGGGAAGAGAGTAACCACACTTGATTAAAACCAAGGACCGGAAGGCCGATTACAAACGGAGAGGCGACGACACACTTTACGTTTCAAACAGCAACTTGACGTACGACCCCGAGTGTAAACGGACGAAAGGCTGCAGCGAAAAGCCGTGACTGTCAGCCTCTGTCAGATTAAAACGACTCCCTTCCGCTCTCAGAGCCGTTTCCAAACCAAGACACAGAGAAGGGGAAAGTAAGAGGGTGGAAAGACATACGCCTCATAAACACTAGCCCCACCCCCCAGCTGGTACGTTAACATCAGCCCAAGGAGACGTACGTGCTGGTCATACTTTTCCTGTTGAAGAGCAAGAGTTCATGATGATAAAAGTGTCCGTTCGAAAGACAGAACGATCCTAAATCGGTAGCACCTGATAGTAATTAACATCAAAAGCAGAAAACATGAACAAAAACCAGTAAAATTAACAGAAGACACATCCCTGAAAGTAATTCAATATCTATAGGTATCAAAAGTGTTTAAAGACAATAAAGAAATGAACTGCCAATAAATATGACTTAGACTTTTAAAAGATCCTTAAAGCCTGGCCGGCGGGGCTCAGTGGTTGAGCGTCGACCTATGGACCAGGAGGTCACGGCTCGATCCCGGTCAGAGCACAGGCCCAGACTGTGGGCTCGATCCCCGGTGGGGGGCGTGCAGGAGGCAGCCGATCCATGATTCTCTCTGATCGTTGATGTTTCTATCCCGCTCCCTCCCTGCCTCTCTGAAATCAATAATAATATATTTTTAAAAAGAAGCAAGAAACAAAACGGGGGGAGAGCTTACAACACGAGACGCTAACCGTCACGACAAAGCTGAACGGTAACTGGTGGAGCCACAGAGCCCAGCGGACAGAAGCCCAGAGACAGGCCACGGGGGTCACCCAACGTGGGAAGGAGGCCACTGGGACCCGCTGGGAAAGCCTGGTCCTGGGTCCCGGGCGCTCACCACGGTCACAGGCCTGTCCACCTCCCACCGCGCACCAGGCCGACTGCCAGGCTGGGCCTGGGCCTGGGAGCAGCGCCTGGTCCAGGGGATTCCCTCACAGGACGAAGAGCACCAACCTTCGGATTTCACGCTCGTCACGCGTGAGAAGCCAGCTGCGGGGCGGGGAGGACGTGGGGCCAGCACAGGACTCACTCCCGAAACACACAGAGCTCCCGCGAGTCAGTATGAGTAAGGGCGGCGAGCAGCCCAATTAAACTGCTTTTAAAAAAACAGGCTAGCCGAAACCAGTTTGGCTCAGTGGATAGAGCGTCGGCCTGCGGACTGAAAGGTCCCGGGTTCGATTCCGGTCAAGGGCATGTACCTGGGTTGCGGGCACATCCCCAGTGGGGGTGTGCAGGAGGCAGCTGATCGATGTTTCTCTCTCATCGATGTTTCTAACTATCTCTCTCCCTTCCTCTCTGTAAAAAAATCAATAAAATATATTTAAACAAAAAATCAACAGGCTGATTTGAAACTGGGCCAAAGACCTGGCCAGCACTCCACAGACGCGGGTGCCACGTGCTGTCCGTCGGCGTGGGCAAGGCACACGGAGGCCACGGCCCACACACACCTGCCCTGCGGGCAAAGAGGAGGAGCTTCCAGCTGTAGAAAAGGACCTCTTACCCTCTGAGACAGCAGGGAGGGGCCTGGCGAGATCGTGCTAAGTGACATCAGTCCGTCAGAGAAGGACACGTGTCCCACGGCCTCACCCATGTGGCATCTCAGTCACATATGTGAACGGAGTGGATCCAGAGCCACGGAAGCAGGAACAGGGCGGCATCTCAGAGGGGAGCTGGGGGAGCCGGGTGGGTGGGAGGTGATCAACCAGAGACCTGTGTGCACATCTGCACGGCCCACGGGCACGGACAGTGGGGTGGGGGGGCGCTGGAGGGGGTCAATGGGGAAAGGGGGACGTGTAATACTGTCAACAATAAAGCTTTATTTAATTTAAAAAGAGGAGCTTCCCACGACGGGTGTGGGAAGGTCGGACGACAGGAGCCCCACCACAGGGCAAAGGGTTTGCATGTGATGGAGGCGAGACCAAGGGCTCAGAGAGAGGCGGGCCCGTTCGTCATCA